ACAGCGATAATAGGCAACTTTATAGCGGCATAATAAAACTTGTAAGTACATTTTTATTATCCACAGTAAAACTAAATAAGTATGTTGAGAGTTCTCAGTTTGATCCTATAAAAACCGTAGAAATCTAACTGAAAAATAGGATTGCTTCTCTTATTGCTTTAAACTCTGTTGACAACAAAAAATGTCTAGTTTGTTTTAAAGACTTTTAAAGCAAATAATATGCTATTAAAAAATTATTTTATAATAATATATTTATTTTTGTAAATGTATTATATATATAATTGTAATATAATTAATTATATTATATATCTATTATCTAATAACTAAATATATTTCACATATTAATAATAATATATTTATCAAATAAAATATAATTTGAATTTATTATTTCCATAAAACAATAGATCTAAATATTATTAAATTAAAAATTTTTTAAATCCACTTAGAAAATAGATACAGAAATGCGTCAAATCATCATTTATTATAATAAAACAAACGAAGGAGGAATAATTATTTTGCAAATCCTAATATAATTCTATATACATTCATATAAATTTAATTTGCCTATAGGATAAATTTTCTTATTGCAAAATAAAAATTCACGATAAGGGATACTGCTATTATCATAAACACTATAAGCTGTCAGAGGAAGACGCGTGTTTATCACGCATTTATCTTTCGCCGATATGATGAACTGTAGCGCAATCTCGTATATTGCGCGTGAAGATGAAGAAGCTTCGCAAAAATGAGCATCACGTAATAATATGTCAGTTTTTACCTCCTATAAATGAACATGTTATTTTTCCAGTTTATAAATGTCATGCAGGATGTATAAAAGAGAATACCGTTCTAATTTTTTTTAAATCATTTTCTAAATTTAAATAAAATTGAAAATATTATTGTTATCAAAATTTAAAAATGAGATTCTAGATTAGGTAAAAGAGAGTAACCAATAAAATTTTTTACGTTTTCTAAACAAACTTACAAACGATTACATTACAACAAAACTTTAAAAAAAGATACTTTTAATCGCAAAAAAGCAATTCAGACGGTTTATAAATCTTAAAATAAGACGAGAACAGAGAGAAAGAGAGAGAGAAAGAGAGAAAGAGATTTTTCCCAAAAGTGCCATAGCTCTCACTTCAATTCGGCGACCAAATTTTATACTGGCTTTACAACGACGACAACGTGGCACGCAAAATATAAGATCATTCATCGTCAGGAAAGGTTGACGCAGCGCGCGCGCACACACACACACAACAATACGAGAGGAAAGAGGAAGGAAAAGGAGTGAGAAATAAAGGACAAAAAATGGTTTCCACGTTGCTCCACCACCCACACTTCTACCTATTTTTCATCGTCCGACCTCGGTGATGTTCTCTCGACCGTTCTTTCATTTACGCGAGAGAAACAGGAGGCAAGAGCTGAAAGCTTTCTAAATTCGATCTTTCTCTCTCCGGATTTCGTGTATGATCTCTCTCTTTCTCTCCCTCACTCTCTATTTCCTTTCGTCAGTATCCTCACGTTTCCTCTTTCGCATTAATATACCGACGACTGGATTAAGCACGTCTACGGTTTATCTCCTTCTTGCAATACGTTTAGGCACCTTCACACATACTCGACCTAGGCGGGATAGGATAGGACGGAAAGCTCATTTACCGAGGAGCTTTATCCCTTTTCCGCCACGCGTCAACTCTCGAATCTAAGCGAGTAACTCGACGAACTCGACAAAATATATGTGTACACAGTCCACGCGATAGAAACGTAACAGATGAACAGGGAAGGAATTATGCGCGGGAGTCACGCGACACTTGCTCGACTTCTCGCAGAGATTCGACTTTCAAATGCGAAAAATCCAACTGATTTGAATCAGTCGGCGAAGAAACATGTTTGCCACCATTATTGCCCACGTAGTTTTAAAAATGCAGATCGTCAACCTATAGGCAAAAAGATTCGGAAAATTGCACGGAAAATATCAGTAATGAACAGAAATTCGTGAAAATTTAGAAAATAAGAAACTTCATTTTTTAAAAGGAAGGTATCACGATGCACGAGGAGACTAGCCGCGAGGATCGAATATATAGGCGAAACTAGGTCATCCAGAATGTGTAATGAGACATGGAAGAATGAACATGTCCAAACCGATTTTATTCGAAAGACTCTTTTTATGTTTTGACGATATTCGCTCAATCAATTGAGAAATCAATTGAGAATGCCTTTCCTTTGTTAGTTAGACGTTACAAAAAAATGCAATTAAATCTAGTGAATCGCACTTTGCGTTGCCAATTTATTTCCATTGTTTACTACTTTTATACTTGTCACGCTCTTATTTTAGTATCGTTCCTTTTCAACGTTTACGATTCTTTACACTCAGCTCCAGTTCAATTTATTTTGATTATTAATATGTACGGAGGTAATTATTTTGTTATGCCGATTGAAACACCGCGATAATAAAATAACTAGGTACATGAACAAGTACAAATTGCATCAAACATCAATACACTTAGTAATAGCAATTCCGGTAGTAAAACCAGTACACGTGTTTCAAAAAAATTTTTCTCTTATAAAGTATACAAAAAAAGAACAATTGCGACTTTGCTCGCGTCATTTGAAGATTATTGTTTATATAAAATTGCATACGATGTATTTGTGAAAATATGACATTTTTATTTATGATATCATTTCTTCTAAATAGCATTACTATTTATTTATTTATTAAAAACAAAAATGAGATGTAATTATTACATTCGTTATGTTTTTGGTACCTAAATTATAAAGTTATGTAGCATTACGAACATATAATCAATAATACACTTTTACAGAATATCTCACGACAGGATTACGCGAATATATGAATGAAAATAAAAATGTAAAATCATGAAACATGGGCAATGCAAGAACGGGAGCATCGATTTCGCATCAAAGTCCGAACGTCCGCAGAAATTCCATTAAATACCCGCTATATTCCTCGCGTTTATGACACTTTTACTATATTCGGTCATGAATCACTGAAATAGCAATACAGCAGCTATGTAATATTCTGATAAAAATAGTTTAAGAGAATCAAAATTTTTTTACACGTCTTAGA